TTGTTGCTAGTTACTTTGGTCCATGTTACTATCTGTGGTACCTCTGTAAGAAGGAGATCTCTCAGTGTTTCCTGCAATGCTGGTCTTGTTTTTACAAACTCTGTTAGGTTCTGTTTTTCTGGGAATATCTTGATCTCTCCTTCATATTTGATGGACAATTTTGCTGGATACAGTATTCTTGGTTGATGGTTGAAATTTATTTTATCAGGGATTAATATCTCTACTCCTTTTTTTTTTTCCCTGGTTGTAATTTGCTCAATATATTTTTTCCCCAGGCTTTTATTATTAGTCTTTCTTTATCTTTATTTTTCAGGTATGTCTTTTGTAGACAATATATTGATGGATTTAGGGGGCTTATTATCTATTCTGCTACTTTCTTCTCTTCAGTACATTTAAACCATTCACATTCAGTGTGATTATTGAGAGGCAAGGTTTTGTTGCTATCATTTTGTTGATTTTTTTTTTATTTGGTGGTGTTGTTAGTTTCTTTGGTCCATCCTCCTTTCTGTGACCCCTCTGTAAGAAGGACATCTTATTCTTATTTCTCTTGATAGTTTCCCACATTATTCTTAGGCACGTGGGGGTGTGAAGGCATGCAGGGGAACCTGAATGCGAAACCAAGAAGTCCTGTTTTTCCCCTTTGAGAACTGGGTCAGCTACCCCAGTCAAGCTTCAGCTGTCCCACTCTCTTCTGCTTAAGGTGAAGGGGTCCCACTTGGTTCAGTAATCAGCAGTGATTCCTCTCTAAGTATCCGCTCAAATTCCCTCTGTTCTGCTTTCTCCTGGTAGATAGGCTTCCTGCCACAGCTCAAGGCTCCCAAATGAATTGTTTTAATAACAGTTCTAATGTAAATTCCAGCTCTCCTGCTTGCTCTGTGCTGCGTGTTGCTCTCTATGAACATATCTCTGAGCATATTGTTTTTAAGAACAAATTATTTCCATTCCCTCACCCCGCCCCCATAATATTGTACAACCCCTGCCCCAGTACATCTTCATCTGCCTGCTTCCATCCTCTCCCACCCCTCTTGGATCCTTACACTCATTCTACAATAATGGTTTTATACAATATTTATTCTTGTGGGGCTGAGTTAGATCACTTAGCACAATGCTGTCCAGTCCCTCCTAAGTTAGGTAATCATTTACAAAATCACTGTTCCTGCATGCTGCATAGCATTCCGTTTTATGAATATACCATAATTTCTCTATCTGTTCATTTGTGATTGGACATTTGGGCTGTTCTCCATGTTCTTTCAATGATAAATAATGCTGTTATGAACATTTATGTAAAAATCTGTATCTCAGTTCTCATTTTCTCAGAATATATTCCAAGTAGTAGAATACATGGATCATATGGAATTTCTATGTTCAGTTTTTGAGGAAGTGCCAAACTGCCTTCCAGAAAGGGTGTTCCATTTTACAATCCCACCAACAATGTATAAGAGTTCCTTTTTCACCACATCATCTCTAATATTTATTACTTGCTGCACTGTTAAACTCTGCCACTGTTATTGGAGTGATATGGTACCTCATTGTAGTTTTGATTTGCTTTTCCCTTATTGCCAGGGATTTGTAACATTTCTTCATGTGTCTGTTTGCCATTCTAATATCTTCCTCTGTGAAAATTCTTTCCATGTCTTTTGCCCATTTTGTAATTGGGTTATCAGTGTTTTTCTTGTTAAGACCTAGGAGTTTTTGTAAACTTTTGTTATAATTTAGCACAATGTAGGTTATAAAATTTTTCATTTAAAGATTTTACATTTTTGTTTGTGTTTAAGAAATGAATTTTTAAAAAAATACTCCAAGTTCATAACTACATTATTGTTCAAAACTGGTTTGGATTTTACTTTTTAATATCTAATCATTAATTCTTCTAGAAGCCATATTTTAGTTTGTTGTGAGGTATGAGTCACAATTTAGTTTCTTCATATATAAAATGAATTAATCCAGTCACACTTATTGATCTCATCCTTCCCCATTGATTTTTCTCAGCTGTTTTTTTGTTGTTATTGTTTTATATCTATATAGATTCTGAGTATGATAATAAAAGTTTAATATTATTGTTGTGTGCTGTTCAGTGTGTTTCCAGAGACAGTTTAATCACACTAGAGGAGACTGCCCATTTTTCTCCCAAGGAGTAGCTGGTGGATTTGTACTGCATACCTTTGAGATGGCAACACAGCTTCTTACTACAAGGCTACCAGAGCTTCCTTAAAGAGTTATGAAATTGGATAAAAGATTTGTTTTCTTTGTCTTTCCACTTTCTATGTTGAAACATTTGCTTAGAATCTTGTTTCTTGCTTGCTTTTCTGGCTTATAGTTAAAAGTGAATTCCAATATTCGTATTCCTTTCCCTCTAACAGAACAATAAGAACCTCCTTATATCACACAGAAAGGAGGCAACTGTCCTTGGGATGCCAGTAAGAACAGATTAGCATGCGCTGGACTCATATAATACCTACACAACTCTGGATGTGACCATACCTGGAATGTTGCCATCACCTATCAACAGGCAAAAGCAAAGATGAAATACATGTTCTTTCTTTAGAGAAGCTTTCTCTTGGCCTCCAGATGAAAAGATAGATTTAGGTAGCTCATATGTCTGTTTCCTATATATTGATGTATAATAAAGCTCGTGCTTCTCACTCCACACCTTAGTGAGATTAGCTATTAAACTTTGGGAGACTGGCTACCAAGGTAACTGCTTCAAATATATTCAGTGACTCTGTAGAAGCAACCTGGTGATTTGTACCATTAAAAATTACAAGAAAAGAAAAGATAAGATTACAGAACAGTTCTAGTTGGTCACTATGATTCATAATGAGTCTAACTTGATCCAGTGGCATCCAACAACAAGGACATGAGCATTAAAGTGTGTACTACGTGAGGGCAAAGTATAGTCCCAATTTATATCATTGGTACCAAAAGCAGTGCTTGGCACCTGTGGGTACTCAAAAGAGATCCATTCAATGGATAATACCAACTGCAATCATGTTAAAGCTGACTCATAGTGACCCCCTGTGTGTCATAGCACAACTGTGGTTTTGAGTTGTTGATTTGTTGAGAGTAGATTGCCAGGCCTTTCTTTTGATGTACCTTTAGTTGACCAGAACCTCTCATCTTTCAATTAATATAGTAAGTGTTAAATTAATAATAATGAATGAATTATTTCCTATAGGAGCTTCTAAAAAAAGAGAAACTGTATTCTAAAATGTTTACAAAATTAGAGATAACATTTCAAATAAATTAATCAAATATGTAACTATGTTTAATGGGATTTTGGCTAATTTTCCTTGTTCTCTATGTACCATCAGAGTCTACGTTTGTATACCTGCTTCATTCCAAGAGTTCTTTCTTCTTTCAGAATAATGTTGTAAGTACACCCCCTTACAATTTGGCTTACTTCAGCCATTAAAGTCAATAGTTGCAATGAATCACACTTAATTGATGGTGCTATGTTGCTTGATTTATGTTGAATTGCAAGCTGTTCCAGGACCTAAGTCTCTTGAAATAAGGAGCCTGCTCAGAGCACACTGCCTGTGGCTTTCTGAGCAAGCAGTGCTTAAACTCTGCTGTTAATTGACTGATGAACTTCTATCCACAATCCAGAATTCCAGAGTCTGTGCCAAAGCATGGCTCAAAGGCATCTAAAACGACCCATCTTCCTCTTTCCACTTGCTATTAAATTGAATACACTGTGGGGTTTAGAGTAGCTCATCTTACGAATATGTTAGGAAGTAAAATAGAGGGGCTGGGCTACATGGTCTCTACTTTTCTCTCCAGCTCTACAATTCTGCATTTCTGTGGGTTAGAGGAGTGTTGGGCCCAAAGGAGGGATTTTCAAATCATACCCTTTGAAAGCTCAGATGAAATGACATACTCATTAGGCACACATCAAAGGTGGCCATCCACTGGAGCCAGCTGTAGAAATGAGTAACTGTTCCCACACACGTCGAGCCTGGGGACAGCGAACGGCCCAGTCTCATGTGTAGCTACACAAACCGCAGAGCTCTGATGTGAATGCGTGCAAATCAGTCCTAGCCATGAATAACATCTAACAGCACGGCGCTTTGTAGGCAAATCTCACTGTAATTCAAGGGAGAAAAACGGTCGATATTTTTTTATATTCTTGCATTGGAAGGATAACAGAGCCCTCAGTCAGAAAGACCTGCTTCTGAATCTTGGTCACACTTTTTTACCCCTCAGGCAAGTGATTTAACCTTTGTAGGTCTCCTTTTCTTCGTCTGAGCATTTCAGAGCAGTGTGAATTGATACAAATACATTGAAATCTTAATACATTGAAGGCACTCAAAAGTGGTATGCATTTCCATTATTATGGTTTTCAAATATTGACCCTTACACATGAGAGGGCATTTCAGTGTGTTCAGAAGAACGCCTCTCCAAGGAGGGTTTTGGAGAGGAAACTACACTTGCTGTTTTCCCATCTGTGAGCCCTTGTACTGATAATATAGAACTGTTTGAACTCAGCATGCTTCCTGAGTGCATAAAGTATGTAAAGATTATCTGAAATTAGAAAGATCTTCTTTTTGTTCCAAAAAGAGAACTCACCCGCACCCCCACCTCAGCAAAATTCTGCCTCCACTTATTTAGTTACAAAGATGTGATTTACATTTATTGAAAGCAATATTACCTACAATCAGAGAATAAGTTGCCGCTATTGTATTCTAATAACTCGTTGCACATCTTTTCAATTTGAACAATAGGATAAGCACCTTTCAGCTGTCAGTGAATTAATGATGACACTGTTCTCCCCCAAAAGAAGCGATTTAGCTAGAGACCTATACTCTTAAATAATGTGCCCAAAAGGCAGCAGTGAAGAAGTTTGTAAAACAGTTATAGAGATTATTTACAGCAGTCACATTATAGTTTAATGTGACTTCATGCCGTGTGTGGAAAAGAATTTTTAAAAAACCCCTAACATACCAACCTCAAAGAGACTAGAAAAGAACATACTCTGTGGTATTCAAACCAAGAATTCTTACCTTGTTTTCATTGAAATTAGCAATAACTACTCCGACAAAAAGGGTCAGTCCAATCATGCAACCCAGGAATACAAAAACATGAATATAGATTCCATGGATCTGCATAAATGAAAAATACGGTTATTCATCAAAGCACATGAAAGCAACTCTGGAAGCATTCAAAGGATTTGATGTGCTTGCTTACCGGCCCCACACGATGAATAATAACATCTCTCACTTCCACCCAGCCTTTCAGTGAGAGGACTTCAAACAGTGCCAACATGGCATTTCCCACATTGTCAAAATTAAAGTTCCGAGGGTTTGCCCTGCAATTCAGAAAGAGGCATGTGCTGTGAAATTCCAAAGGGAAGCACCCTATGGTAAATATCTGCAGCTCTTTCCAATTTTGAGTATAGGCTATATTTGGTACTTTGGAGAATGGGTTTTATGATATTCACTTGCTGCATAATGATGGTGCATTAATGTGTTACAATACACTGATTACGTTTATCAGGTAATGATAGAATGTTCTAAATTTAAAACACTCAAATGTTAAATAACCTTGGTTCTAACTTTCACGCAGAAGTGAGTGACCTTGGAAGTTCATGAGGATCTGTAACATTTCTGGCAGGTATTGATTCCAATGAGGATGAGGAATATGCATTCTAGTTTAACTGTGTAGAGTTTTACAAAGACAGTGCATTTTGAATGAGTTTTCTTAATAAAACCCTTTCTAAAGACATATGTTAGCTTTCTGTGTTAGTACGTGCAGCTCTGGTGGCACAGTCCATAGTGAATTGGTGCTGCTAAGCCAAAGGCAGTGGTACTTCTCTAACAGTTTAAATCCACCGGCATCTCTTCAAGAAAAAGACAGTTAATCTCCTCCCACGCAATTTATAGCCTCTGAAAACTCACTGGACAGCCAGTTTGGAGTTGGTTCTGAGTTGATGGCAATGAACTGGGTTTGTTTTGGGGTTTGGTGGTTTTTTTGGTTGTTGTTATTCTGTTAGTGTTAAAGAGCCCTAGTGGAACCTGGAGTTATGTATTGGAGTGTGAATTGAAAAGGTTGAATTCATCAGCTACTCTGTGGGAGAAAGACTAATTAGTCTGCTCCTGTACTAATTACAGCCTCAGAAACCTTGTGGGTAGTCCTACTCATTCTACAGGGTCACTGTAGAAATGGACTCAATGATAGTGAGTTTAGGATGTTTATATAAGCGGTCCCTAAGTAGTTCACAGCTCACTTCATGTACCTATCCTGCTGATCAGTCAGGATCTTGGCTGAGGATTTGGCATCATAGAAAAGTCTGCATCTCTTCAACATGTTCTTTTTTGATGCTGTCTTTCCCATTGATCTTAGCAAGCAAGTTGGCTAGGGTCAGCAGCTGCACTGAATACCTCAAAGTGGACTTGGTACCAATCTCTCCTAGGTGATTCAGCGCCTCCTCACCAATGTTGATTCCCTCCATCTGGGCTCGAATTTTAATGATCTGCTTCATCTCCTGTGAGGTGTACAGCACAGTTCAAATGATCCTAACCTGGTCCAGAAGATCAAGAGGGATGCCGTGAGGAGAGATGACATCCTCTGTGCCTCTGATGATGCAGCTGCCTCGGCTGGATGCAAAAATGATAATGGGAGCAATGTAAGATTCCAGGGCCCGGTGCACATAGGTGAAACACTCAATGTCCAGCATGTGGACCTCATCAACAAACAGCACACCTGGAACCTTCTCAGCAATGCCCTGGTCAATCTACTTGTTCACAACCTTGTCAATCTCCCCTCGAAGTTTATCTGTGATTTCTGTCTTCTTTGGCTTCATCAAGTGACCCATTGTGGACAGAATGTCTTGTACTCCCTGGGGCCTTGCATTGGCCACATTCAAGTCATGCAAGGTCACATCCTGGATAATTTCTTTCTTCTTATGCACATCTCCTTTTGGAAAAGGAACGTACTCTTCAACATCAAGGTCAAATTCTGTGGCATATGTATCACACCTGTCCTGCCTCTTCACAGCCCCACTGTTGGCTTCAATGTAAATCACGTCTCCGGCCTCAACTTGTTCTTTCTGCAAGCCTTCAAAAATGCGAGGGTCCAGTTTTAACTGTTTGGTAACTTTGATTGTTTTGAGTCCTATAATCACATGGCCAATGGTTTTGCCATATCCCCTCGTGGGGTTCTCTGTCTCACATGGAGTTAACTCTCTGACTTCACCGTCATAAACTTCCTTGGTCTCCTTCATCTGCAACCCGATGGCCCTGCAAAAGTTCTCCATCAGCACTTCTGTCTTCTTGATCTCTGTTGAATAAACTTCACTCCCCACCATTGGGCAGAAAGGGACCTTGCTACACAGTTCCTGAGCAATACCCAGAGCCAGAGCAGTACTGCCTGTTTCAGGAGGTCCTGCCAACAAGACAGCTCTTCCAGCCATTTTCTTGCTTTTGATTAACTCCACTATCACGCCACATGCTTCTAGTGCATTCTCCTGCCCCATAAGCGCGGAGGCTGCATGCTTGGCCAGGCTAATTTTGTCTAACCCTAGCCCTTTCACATGGCTGTCGGGGGCAATGTGCTGTGTTTTCATGGCACGCTACACCTCCTCGATCTTCATTTTGAACATGCAGGGAAGCAAACAAACAGTGCCCCACACAACACCCCACTCACAGGTTACCATGCGGCTAGAAGTAATTTTTATAGCGAGCTGGTGGGGAGGGGTGGGCAGGGAGAAAATTGTGGCAATGAATGAACGGAAATCCAAAACCTCTGTAAAAAAAAAATAAATAAATTTAAGAAAGAAAAAAAAAGAAGTAAGTAATGAGTTCTTTCTACTGTGGAGTAAATTGATGGACTAGACACAACCATCATTTTTGCTCCACGAGGGCTCCTTCAGTGTATGCTACCAAGCCTAAGGGTCACTACCTGTTGTCTGCGAATCCACGACACCTAACAACAATAACAATGACAACACAGAGAGAGCTCATTGGCCTTAGTGGACAGAAAGTTATGCTACCAAGCCCAAGGTGGATGATTTTAATCTGTGGCCTTCAGGCCTCATTCAAATTGGGGTTTATTGTCAAACATTCTTCTAAGTGGTATAGCACTAGTCTATGCATTGCTGTACAGAGGTAACTCGTGGCTGCTGTGATGCTAAACACTGTGACACTGATGTGTCAAATGTAATAATGGTTGCCAATAGAGGACAGTGTTTGGTGGAGCTTCCTGATTAAAATAAGCTTGGAAGCAGGAGTGGCATCCACTTCTTAAATGGCTTGCTTCTGGAAACTCTATGAACAGTGCTCAGGTCTTTTGTTCATAGGGTCACTATGAGTCATCTACAACTCGAGGACACCTAACAATAACAACAACAGGGCTCCTACAGTGTAGTCCTGAGGGAGTTACCCTGCTAACCCCAAAGTGGTACCTCTCTGGCGGCTCAAATCTACCAGTGCCTCTGCAGGTGAAAAATGTGTAATCTTCTCCTCTGCAATTTACAGTATCTGAAAACTCACTGGATGGCCAGCAATGCATTGATTTGTCTTAATGGCATGATGTGTGAGTTTTGAGAGTCCCTTTCTGATCATAGGAAGAAAACTTTATGAGGTAGCTCTATTCTGTGACACTTAATGTTATCAGGAATCAGAATGTACTTTACAACAAGAAATTTGATGTTTGTGTGAGCAGTATTGAATTGGGTCACATTTATCATTCTGTATTATCAGAAACATTACACCCAAGGTCCCGGAAATGACAAGAAGTCTTTGCTCACAGTCTTAGTTTTCAGATCTTTTTTTCTCAGCTAGATTGTTTTGTTGTGTTTTTTCCCCCCTCATTAACTCTGAATATTTTTAATAGACACTTTTTTGTAAAGTGCCACTTCTCACCCTTCATGGACTCCACTATCTACATCTGTACTTGATTATTGATTCTAAATGTTTTTACCTTAGCAGTATAGAGCATCATTTATTGTGTAGCTAACTGAAGGTCATTGGTTCAAAGCCACCAGCCACTTGGCAAGAGATAAATGGGACAATCTCCGCTGGGAAGGGTTTATTGTCTCAGACACCTGAGAAGAATTTCCATGAGTCAGAATCAACTCCATGGAATGGCTTATTGATTGTTAAAGGAGCCCTGGTAGTTTAGTATGTTAAGTATGAGTTGTTAACCAAAAAAAATCAGTTTCTAATCTACTAGCTGCTGTTCCAGAGAAAGATAGACTATATCCTTCCATAAAGATTTGTTATTTGTTGTTAGGTTCTGTTGAATAGAGTACGACTCAGTGACCCTATGAGCAACAGATCTGAACCCTGTCCTATCTTGTGCCATCTCACAGTCTCTGACACCCTTGAGCTCATTGCTGCAGTCACTGTGTCAAGGTTGAGAGACCTCCTCTCTTTCATTGTCCCTCCACTTTACCAAGCATGAAGCCCCTTTCCAAGGATTCGCCTCTCCTAGAAACATGCCCAAAGTACGTGAGACAAAGCTTTATTGTCTTTGCCTCCAAGGAACACACTGGCTGCACTTTCTCAAAGACATACCTGTTTGTTCTTTTCGCAGTCCATGGAATATACAGCACTCTTCTCCAACGCCACAGTTCATATATAAATAAATTCTTATTCTGTCACCTTCATTGTCCGGCTCTTAGAAGTGTAACAAGTGCTTGAAAAGACCAAGGCTTGAATCAGGTGCATCTTAGTCTTCAAACGAACACACTACTTTTCAATAATTTAGAGAAGTCCCTGACTTTAGACACCCCCTGTTCTCTTGACTGCTTGTACCAAGTGTATTGATTGTGGATCCATGTATGATGAAGTTGTTAACAGTTCCAATCTTTTCTCCACATATCATGATGTTGCCTATTGGTCCAGTAGTAAGAAGTTGGTTTGTTGTTTGGATGTCGTTGTTTTTGTTTGGGGGTTTTTCCCCCCCTTAACATTGAAACGTAATCCACATTGAAGGCAGTATTTGATCATTTGCAACAAACATTTCAAGTTCTCCTTACTTTCAGCAAGCAAAATGCACCATCTGCATAAAGAAGGTTATTGATATGTTATCTTCTAATCCTGGTTCCACATTCTTCTTCACATAGTCCAGCTTCTCGAATAATTTGCTCAGTATATACATTAAAATGTATGGAGAAAGGATCCAAACCTGATACACATTTTTCTTGATTTTAAACCATTTAGCGTTCCCTTGCTCTGTTCAAACTATAGCCTCTTGATCTAGGTCTAGGTTTTACATAAGCACAATCGAGTGTTCTGGGATTCCTATTCCTCTCAATGTTAGACAGAATTTGTTATGATTCACACAGTCAATGTATGGATCATATTG